GAAGTAGAACTGATTCTTCTGCATCAAACAAGAAAAGAAAAACTTTATCTTTGGAATGTAAAGTTAACATTATTAAAGACTTCGATACAAAAATGAAAATTTGTGAATTGACAAAGGAGTTTGATCTACCGGAATCGACGGTCAGAACAATTGTAAAAGGTAAAGAAAAAATTTTCGAAGCTGTGAAAAATGCTCAATCTTTAAATTCAAGCATCATTCGTAAACGTCACGGTATTATCGCTGAGATGGAAACAATGTTAAAATTACGGTGCGATAATCAATTTAAATGTGAAAAATTGTCCTGTTGATCAGAACACTGTGCGCTTTCAAGCTAAGCTGATTTTTGAGAGATTGAAAGAGGATGCTGGAGAGATGGCTAAAGATGAAGAGTTTAAAACTAGTAACAGGTTAGTTCAGCCGATTCAAAAGTCTCTGTAATTTATAGCATTGCAGAAAGTGGAGAGGCGGCAAGTGCTGATAAAGAGGCTGCATCTTACTATCTAGAGAAATTCAAAGCTATGTTGCCTGTGATTTGGAAGTCGAATCGTAAAGCTTGGGTGACAGCTTCCCTTTTTTGAGACTGGTTTTTGAGACATACCTGAAGTCGAACGTTATTGCCAATCTAAACAAATTCCATTTAAAGTGATGCTAATAATCGACAACGTACCAGGTCATCCCCTGAAACTTTAACTAATTTTGATCCACGTGTGGAAGTTGTATTTTTTGCTACCAAATATCACCAGTTTGCTTCAACCGATGGATCAGAGTCATCAAAACATTCAAAGCTTATTATATGCGAAATTATACCCCGACTTACGCGGTTATCGCTCGGTCCTACCTATCGCGTTAGTTCGGGGTATTGCTGTATACAAAATTATTGACGTGAGGACAGAATGGAAGACAGAAATTTTGGGCTTTATATAGACAAATTTTGTCTAGAGTTTAAAATTTCTTTAATCTGGCACTATCTAGAAATTATATGCAGTACATGAGCCTATTTAATATTTAAATTAGTTTAATTTTTTAAATAAATAACACTATACTTTCAAATCTTTTTTTTTTATTTTAATCACGATTAAAATTTTATAAAGTAAACTTTAGATGTTGTCTTTCAAGATTTATTTTTATGCAGAAAATAAAAATTTATACATTGCGTCTATCAAAAATTTTTAAGGGTTGGTAAAGTAACAACAGCTGTCCCGCAAATAGGAAATGGCATTGGTTCACGTGCCAACCATGACTTTTTCATGCTTTCTAAACAGATAAAATCGGAGTGGTTTGTTTGTTGAAAAGATGATAAACCTCCGATTACATATATTCTTTTGGCTGGAAGCATTTAAAATTAAGATTAATTTATATTATTAGTAAGATTTAATTTATTAAGAATACAAACCAAGTGAAGTTGTAACCAATCCGTGTTTTGCAGAAGGTAACGGGGTACATTTTTTCCATTCATTCAATTCGTCATCATAACAGTATACCTCTGTTAAACTACAGATATGATTCTTTCGTTTCCCCGATCCTCCTATGATATATAATCTCTTTTCGTGTTCCACTAAACCCATCAAAGTTACCGGCATTGGTAATTTTGCAACGTTGAATGACCAACTACAATTAATGAAATATTATGAAAATTAATTCAAAAATTTTAATGTTATTTATTGATTCTTACTGGTTTGTTTTTGGATCAAAACATTCGATATCTCTGACAATATAAACTCAGTATACCTCTGTTAAACTACAGATATGATTCTTTCGTTTCCCCGATCCTCCTATGATATATAATCTCTTTTCGTGTTCCACTAAACCCATCAAAGTTACCGGCATTGGTAATTTTGCAACGTTGAATGACCAACTACAATTAATGAAATATTATCAAAATTAATTCAAAAATTTTAATGTTATTTATTGATTCTTACTGGTTTGTTTTTGGATCAAAACATTCGATATCTCTGACAATATAAACTCTGTTTTCTTCTGTTAAGTGTATCATTCCTCCGACGACCCAGAGTAAACCATTATGAGAAGCTACACCCATACCAACTCGTGGGCAATTCAGAGGATATTTTAACTCAAACCAAGCATCTGTATTAATGTCGTAACATTCTATTGATGACAATAACCTAAAAAATTAAGAAATGACAAATATATATATATATTTTTTTATCAATGTTAAGTGATCAAAAAATTTGAGTTGGATTATTTAGCTTATTTGGTTTGGCTGAAAAATAAGGCAACGAGTATGAAGAAGGAAGCTTCGTTTTCAACTTAGTAATATGGTAGCGAGGGATCATTGATGTCTCGCTTAGATTACCATATGCCAATTTGAGGACCACTAGTGACCGAGAGATAAAAACCACTGAATGCCCTGCCATGATTGCCACAGGGACTTTTCCAGATTTTCTTTACGTATCTGAAGCCTAAATAGGGGCCAGTTTCCCATAGAAAATCCTTCCTATTTGAAAATAAAACTCCATGTTCTACAAACGACCAACAGGATATAACTCCCATGGCTGGAATTTCGACTTTTTAGGAACTTCATCTCACTGCCCATTACTAATATATTTGTTTTATATGTATATGATGCCTCTAAAGAAATATGGCTACATCTCAAAAACACTTAAAGGACTGTGAGGATAACTCGTTATTTTGTTTTCAAAGAAACTAAATATAAGCATTATTGCTTACTGCTTGTTTTCATTTTTTCCTCCAACAACATAAATTATTCCATACAAAACTGCAGCACCGTGATACATACGACAATGATGCATAGATTTCATAGAATTCCACGTTTCGTTTACGTAATTGAATCGAAAACACGATGACGTTGATACAATATTTCCTTTTAGTGTTTCCCTCAAGTCGCATCCACCTTTAAAAATAACCATTTTTAAAATGTGTGTATAAAGGAAAATGATTTTATTAACTTTCAAATCAGTTTTTTTTTTGTTACGATATATTGATAAAGAGTTTACCAATACAAAAAATATTCTCTCTTAAACAAACAGCTGCCATATGATGGCGTGGCAATGGTAACTTGCAGCATCTTTCCCATTTGTTTTCTATAGGATGATATCTTAAAACAGAAACACCTAAAATAATATGATGATAATCATTAAAAGATTTACTTATTTGATTTTAAATATACACTCACCACACTCCATCTGTTGCAATTGAGTTGGATTCATTCCACCTATAGTTAATAAAACGGGAGTTTCTCTTAGTTGTATCGGTCCCGTAACTTTTCTCAAATTTATAGTCACTCTTTTAGACCAATCAGCAGGACCATTACTATTTTTTACAATCATTTGCAATGAAGCATCCATTGTTAAAGTATCGATTCTATTCAAATCGATTAAATCGATTTTTTTTCTGAATGTTCGAGACGTTCTCCTTGATGTTTGATGATATCCTGATGACGAAGACACATAATGACATTACGAATGACAAATTTAAATGCGATTGACTATCAAACCTCTAAATTCTGTGAATTTATTGAACTTTTTCTGAATAAATGACTGCGACTTGCTACTTGAATTTTTACAATTTCATTTGTTCTTTTGTTAAATCTTTTAGCGAAAAGATAACGTTTAAAATACGACTGAATCGTCTTTTCTGCTTTTGTTTTCTTTCCCCATAATGTTTCACAAGTAACATCATACTCAGATGTATTCTGTAAAGTGTTAATAAAACTTTATAAATCTTAGTAATAAAATCTATGTATTGTAAGAGAATAAAAATAAATTACTAACCCATAGTTCTAAAGGATGGTCGCTCAGTAGGTAACGTCGTGGATTGTTATTGTAATCAGTAAATTTTGTAACTTGTCCACACATCTTTGCCGAAATATAACTGTAAAATGTTACATTATATAGATACCAATATTTAATAAGATTCCAATATGAGATCCACATCGTACCACGTGGCATCGGTTATAAGATTTCTCACGAACACATGTTCTATGATACCAGGCAATATCGGTGGATGATAACAAGCTACGATCTCTTCTAAAGTCATCATAGAAAATCTGATGTTATCCATCACTTGTTTAATATATTTTTCTCTTTCCAGATAGTTATGATCGAGCCATTTTAAAGCAGCCAGAAATACAATTACTTCACTAATTCTAAACAATTTTTTTAAAATATACATTAGAATCTATACAGTATGTGAAACTTTACTTCAAATAAATGGTTAAGAAAACTAATGGGTCATTAGGTCACATATGGGTCATTAGGTCATTTGAGAAAAGAAAAATCACTTCCAATCCACTTTACATTAATTGTAACGAGCAATTATTTAATGTAACAGCACCACAGAGCTATTAAGTTTACAGTAGTAGTGTCTTGTCCCTGTACTGTACATCATATTTTTCCTGTTAACAATGAAGTCATGCCATCTAACTCCGTTCAGGAGAAAATTTTGAATTGAAATAACGTGACTTCTATTTCAAACAGGAAATTCGTATATAGTTCTAATTGTGTGATTGACTGTAAAGCAATTTTAAAGTAAACTTTTTTCATTTTGTCAAGAAAACTTTTTTCATATCAAAACAAGAATACGACGAAGAAAATATTAGGGCCATACATCGCAAGACTTTCTGATGTGAAGGAATTTACACATGTAGATCAGCAGCTTTTCTGATTATCCCTATTTGATTCTGAAAGGGATATCAAATCTATATAAATTAAGTCTATTTAAATTAATAATGGAGTAATTTAATTGTATAATTCTACTCTGTACACAGTTCATTCCCATTTCATTTACTTTATCATTCTTGTGATAAATTATAGTAATATAGGAAATCTGCTTTGAAAGTTTTACCAGTCATTTGTACTTTATAAGTATCCATAATTAATTTTGAGGAGTCATACCAAGATATATTTTTTAATAAGGGATCAAAGTCTAAACTAGAATTGTTTGTATGCCATATCTATCGGTGTACAAATTGTTATTTCGGCATTATGTCGAACTGCGTAATTTAATCTAAAATTTAGAACGTTCTGGTGTTATGTATTTAACCGAAAGATGGACAATATATTAAATATTGTAAATATATTTTTGAACAACCTATGTTTGTTTAGATTTGCACTTTTATATTTGACATATCTGTAAAAATAAATTGTTTGCTTAAATTATATAAAACAGCTGCCATATGATGGCGTGGCAATGGTAACTTGCAGCATCTTTCCCATTTGTTTTCTATAGGATGATACCTTAAAACAGAAACACCTAAAATAACATGATGATAATCATTAAAAGATTTACTTATTTGATTTTAAATATACATGTATCTACACTCACCACACTCCATCTGTTGCAATTGAGTTGGATTCATTCCACCTATAGTTAATAAAACGGGAGTTTCTCTTAGTTGTATCGGTCCCGTAACTTTTCTCAAATTTATAGTCACTCTTTTAGACCAATCAGCAGGACCATTACTATTTTTTACAANTTCCCATTTGTTTTCTATAGGATGATATCTTAAAACAGAAACACCTAAAATAATATGATGATAATCATTAAAAGATTTACTTATTTGATTTTAAATATACACTCACCACACTCCATCTGTTGCAATTGAGTTGGATTCATTCCACCTATAGTTAATAAAACGGGAGTTTCTCTTAGTTGTATCGGTCCCGTAACATTTCTCAAATTTATAGTCACTCTTTTAGACCAATCAGCAGGACCATTATTATTTTTTACAATCATTTGCAATGAAGCATCCATTGTTAAAGTATCGATTCTATTCAAATCGATTAAATCGATTTTTTTTCTGAATGTTCGAGACGTTCTCCTTGATGTTTGATGATATCCTGATGACGAAGACACATAATGACATTACGAATGACAAATTTAAATGCGATTGACTATCAAACCTCTAAATTCTGTGAATTTATTGAACTTTTTCTGAGTAAATGACTGCGACTTGCTACTTGAATTTTTACAATTTCATTTGTTCTTTTGTTAAATCTTTTAGCGAAAAGATAACGTTTAAAATACGACTGAATCGTCTTTGCTGCTTTTGTTTTCTTTCCCCATAATGTTTCACAAGTAACATCATACTCAGATGTATTCTGTAAAGTGTTAATAAAACTTTATAAATCTTAGTAATAAAATCTATGTATTGTAAGAGAATAAAAATAAATTACTAACCCATAGTTCTAAAGGATGGTCGCTCAGTAGGTAACGTCGTGGATTGTTATTGTAATCAGTAAATTTTGTAACCTGTCCACACATCTTTGCCGAAATATAACTGTAAAATGTTACATTATATAGATACCAATATTTAATAAGATTCCAATATGAGATCCACATCGTACCACGTGGCATCGGTTATAAGATTTCTCACGAACACATGTTCTATGATACCAGGCAATATCGGTGGATGATAACAAGCTACTATCTCTTCTAAAGTCATCATAGAAAATCTGATGTTATCCATCACTTGTTTAATATATTTTTCTCTTTCCAGATAGTTATGATCGAGCCATTTTAAAGCAGCCAGAAATACAATTACTTCACTAATTCGAAACAATTTTTTTAAAATATACATTAGAATCTATACAGTATGTGAAACTTTACTTCAAATAAATGGTTAAGAAAACTAATGGGTCATTAGGTCATTTGAGAAAAGAAAAATCACTTCCAAAAATCACTTTACATTAATTGTAAAGAGCAATTATTTAATGTAACAACACCACAAAGCTATTATCAATAAGTTTACAGTAGTAGTGTCTTGTCCCTGTACTGTATATCATATTTTTCCTGTTAACAATAAAGTCATGCCATCTAACTCCGTTCAGGAAAATTTTTTGAATTGAAATAACGTGACTTCTATTTAAAACAGGAAATTCGTATATAGTTCTAATTATGTGATTGACTGTAAAGCAATTTTAAAGAAAACTTTTTCTCATTTTGTAAAAGATCTTATAGATCTAATATAATTTATTACAGTATTATCGTGATTTTTCTTATAGCCATTTATTTACATATTACTTAATAAACTTTACCTTCTGGCACCAATTATATCCACGGAAAGAAATTCACAGACTTGTTCAATATCCAATTCGACAAAGTCTTTACAGACTATTACCTCTTCAAATCTTTTAGCCATAGAATTTAAAGCTCGTTGCCACGTTTCACGAAGTCCTAATCTTTTTGCCGTTACGTAGATGTATAAAAGATTTGTGGTATTTTTATCAGAATCCATTAACAACTATCGATAAAGATGAAAATACAATACATCGATAATAAAATTAATTTTTAAATTAATTTAATAACATAACTTACCAAATTGCACTTTTCGGTAACTTCATACATTTCTAACTTTTTGGATGCTTGATACACATCTGCCAGAGTTTGACAATTTAAATTTAATTCCCCAGTATACATGTAATTCAATAATGTATCAAAAGCTTTTGGAGTAACAGATTTCAATTTTATCTGATAAAAGTTAATCATTAAATTAATATAACGGATATCCAACTACGTACTATACTTAAAAGCAGTGGTTCTCAACCTTTTTTGTTGATATACCCTATTAGTCCATTAGTTGTTTCTCAAGTACCCATTATATTTTTGTATGTAAACTTTATAATTACTGCGTTAGATGTATACAGCCCTTATAACTGAGCGCCATAAAAAACTCTAACTAACTAGACCAGTGGTATAAATACAATCGACCTCCTATAACACTTGATTATTCCGTTTTATATGAATTCCATGTTGTACGAATCACTTAGATTTTACAAATACGTGTGCCGGGCTGTGAACGGCTCACGTATTTGTAAAATCTAAGTGACTCATACAACATGGAATTCATATAAAACGGAATTATCAACAGTGTTATAGGGGGGTCGACTGTAAATACATTTCAGCCATCTATATATAATATACTAATCAAATAATAACACAAGAAGTGTTAATAATTTACAGCAAATTGATTAACATATGCCATTTTATAATGAAAGTTAGATGTACTCCTTTGATTTATGCTCGTATCCCTAGGGGTACATGTACCCCCAGTTGAGAACCATTGCTTTAAAGAACACCACAAGTGTAATGATTCATTAAGTAATGCCTTTCTTACTCAAACTACAGATAATATACGAGTCATATTCAGGATGATCCTTCGAATCAAAATCCTGGATAAAATATACAATAAAAATTATTAAATGAACTTACTTTGTTAAGAGAATTTCTGGATGGTTCCATAAGCAATTTCTTAAAATAAGGAGAATAACAAGTGAGAACTGCCTTATGGGCAGAAAAGCAATTTTCTTTGACTTGAATTACTATATCAGTCATCTTGTTATATTTCCATAATCCGGCTGTATGTTCACCCAGCATTGCAAAATGCATACTTTTAGATGTATTCAATTCTTCACACATACTGAAAACAATTATCATCATCATTCTAATTGGATTTTTCAATCGATATACTTATAAGGAGAAAGGATTAAACTTACCTTATTGAAATTTTATGGAAAATATTTAAACAGACTAATATCATTAGATATTATTATTATTTCGTAACTATGGACGTTTTTTTAATTATTACGTTAAATATAATTAATGAAAAATATAACTTTTAGAACACAATGTTTAGTTATTTACTTGATTTAATTAGATATTCTCGAGCTCCCTTTGCATTTGTCTTAGTCGTAGATATTTAATATTTTCAGTAATTTTTTTTCACTTGTTTTTTTTTTCATTTCTGGACGTTTCAAAATCCTCTTAGTCCAAAAGTGTAAACATTCTGGAAGGTCATTTTTTTGACCTATCGCCTATTTTCTCTCTGTTGTATATAGTCTAACAACCGAGTAAATAAAAATAAATTTGAATAACTTATTAGTTGACTGTAAAAGAATAATTTTAATTAAATTTAGGATTTAAAATATTTAATTGTAAACTATTACTTTCTATTAAGAAGGATATCCTTTATCATAGATTCGAAATCCCGTTAGTTCGTAACTGTACTTACTCTAATCTGATCAACATGTCTTTGCTTTTACAATAACACATTTTAGGGTATCACTTTACCCTTTTTTTTTCTCTCTTATCTCATAAAATATGGATGGGTTTCTGGATTGCAAGATTGGACTACAAGTAACAGATTGAGATATTTGTAGTGTTCTAGGCTAATACCTTTTGAGTAACTTACTACTTTTTGGACTAGTTTAAAGATAATTTGGGCTGCATTACTTTTTGTTTCGATCTGTGAAGTTCTCACGTACACATGCTGTTTACCTATACTTTATTTATATTATTAATTATTAATGAAAATAGCATTCTGTATTCCTTGCTGTATTCCACTTGTTTAATAAATTACATTAGTTACATGGCATTTNGCGGAAGCGAATCAATATCGACGTAAAAGATGGACTTTGGTTGGTGGAGTACTTCGCATTTCTCTGGTTTACATTGTTTCTCGTGAAATATCTTAAAGATGTACACGAGCGCAGTAATAAGTAAAAATATCAATGATATTATAAGGTAAGTCACCAATACGTTGGATATGGCACGGCCAAATTTTTTCATTATGATCTTCATTTCTTGTTCTGTGAGCTTTCTGTTCACTTTCAAATCAGTTCTGAGACTGTCTGAAATTTTATTTTCGCCACCTTCCTGCTTCGTTGGACCAATTAACATTGTATTAAGACGATTTTTATCGTCGTTCTTCTCCGAAAATTCGACGTTGTCATCCAATTTTCTCGTTTGTTCCGTTCCTCTTTTTTGCTCGATCTCTTCATTTATATATTTCCGCATAAAATAAGAATTTTTGTATTTTTTGTAATTTTCTATAAAAGAAGAAAGCTTCGAAACTTCATTTCTTGAATTTTTAATTATTTTTGGTTTAGTTACACCACGCTTTTCTTCAAAGTCGTCATGATCTTGATCCTTGTCCATTGGCGATTCTTTATTTCTTTGAGTCGACGGTCCCACGAGCCAGTCCAATTTTCGAATTTTTGACTTGCTTCGTGGAACAAGGACACCATTTTTGTTTTTAAGCTGTGTTGAAAACACATTCGTCAAGTCTTCGTTATAAGCAACGTCCTCCTCCGTTAAAGAACTGAGGAGCAACGAGCTTGGATCACTCACGAATTTCTTTTGTAGACGTATCCTATAGTTTTGCCCCACAGGAGCGTAAATTAAAATAAATAATGGTAAAATTACCATTAATATAACGCATATATTCATCTTTTATCTCGATTCGAAAACACTTTCAGAACTATTTACTTCTGTAAATATTGTTAGACAATACTAACATTGTTTGCATTATTGAAAACGCAATAATGAAATCATTTACGAAACTTGATGTATATTAATATTTTTTCAGGATTCATAGATACAATTTATTTTGTGTTATTTATTTCTGTGTTTGTTTCTGTGTTCTGCGGAGACTTGAGAGACTTTACTACGTCATCCAAACGAAGTAGAACTGATTTTTCTGCATCAAACAAGAAAAGAAAAACTTTATCTTTGGAATGTAAAGTTAACATTNTAATTAAATTTAGGATTTAAAATATTTAATTGTAAACTATTACTTTCTATTAAGAAGGATATCCTTTATCATAGATTCGAAATCCCGTTAGTTCGTAACTGTACTTACTCTAATCTGATCAACATGTCTTTGCTTTTACAATAACACATTTTAGGGTATCACTTTACCCTTTTTTTTTCTCTCTTATCTCATAAAATATGGATGGGTTTCTGGATTGCAAGATTGGACTACAAGTAACAGATTGAGATATTTGTAGTGTTCTAGGCTAATACCTTTTGAGTAACTTACTACTTTTTGGACTAGTTTAAAGATAATTTGGGCTGCATTACTTTTTGTTTCGATCTGTGAAGTTCTCACGTACACATGCTGTTTACCTATACTTTATTTATATTATTACTATTATTATTATTAATTATTAATTAACTCTTTCTCACTCTCTCTCCTACAACATTTTCAGAAATTACAAAATCTTAATTATTTTTTTATGATCGTATAAATTATGATTATGTTCTAATTTTCTAGTTTAATATTTAACATAAAAAAAGTTTTATTCACATAAAACTTTTTAATGTGAATAATTATGTATAATTATTTCCTTAATAAAATTAAACTTATTTTAATTGATCTATTAAATCTATATATATATATGCTGTATATAGTCAAGCATTTATATTTTATAATTCTATTGTTTTAAAAACTTTTCTGTAAAATATATATTAGAAAATGAGGAAGATTTAAGAAAAAAAAACATAATCTAGATAATAATTTTTGATATATTTATTATTATTATTATTTTTAATATAAAAGACATCGATTATTGCGGTATATAAAGATTATTCTAGTGAATACTTTCATCTTGCGAAATTGATCCATACACTCTATTATGCTGGAAGGATCGATTTACGAAAGACCAAATGACAAACTAGTCTAAGGATATGGATAGTACATAATTAATCATTGTTTTTTTGACACAATAGACCATTAAATTAAACTATATCACGCATCGATAAAAAAGATAAGTAAATAAATAAGGAAGCAAGATATGAAAAAAACAAATAAACAGATATTTGTAGGCCTACGAGAGTACAGTTGATCCGGTATTTGTAAAGCTGATAGTGTGTGTCGATCATCAGTCAATTTCTACGGATATAAAAACTGTTACAAGATCTTTAAAATGATGTATTATTAAACTCCTGAATACAGAGATAACTTTTTAGAAAGTTGAAGACCTCTAAGCGGTTACAAGATGGTTTATAGATTGGAATACAGATCAATAAATAGCATCCTTTAAGTAATATCTTCCGTTTAAAAAATAAAAGTAAATAAATAATAATGGCAGCTGGTACCGATCTTCTCGACGGTGCGAAAATCCATGTTTATAAATGGATCGTTATGAAAATACTTCGAAAAGATATTAAAACTGGTGATAAGAGCATTAAATAAAATTATCGTTTAAAAGTATTGTTTTTTTGTGTTGTATTTTTAACGTGATAATTAATATTCATTTTAATATTATTACTTTTCTGGTTAGAACGAGAAATAATGTAAAATCTCCATTTTGTTATCTTATAATAAACGGAAGGAATAGTATGATTGAAATCTGCTTTTAGTCCGTCAAACCATAATGGCCTCATAATACATAATGTAACATGTATAACACAACCATCAAAGACATTACTTCAACTCGCATCATCATCACAGTAGAAATACAGTAATAAACATTCTTCTTGTAATCAAAAAGCATTACCAGTATTTGGCTATAAAGTAACAATGTTTATCTCATGTTTTTTTGGTTTTATTTCAATCAAAATTTTTTATAAGATTTTTTAATATATTAGAAACCATTTCAAAAATTTTATAAAATAATNTGACATCTATGTAAACAAGTGGAGATTTTAATATAAGATTACTCATTTAAACAAATAATAGTTTTAAAATAAATTTATTTTATTAGAGATTTTAACTGATAAAGTTAAATTTAAAAGTAAATAAATATATTTTTATGAATAATTTAAAGAAAAATAGAAAATAAATTGAGAAATTGTTTTGTTAGTTTATATTTGTGACTAATTATCTTAAATGTAGTAAGAGGAAATGACTAATAAATAAAACAAAATGATAGACAGGAATTAAAACAACTGATTTAGTTTCATAATATATCCTATTATCTATTTTATACTGCACTCAATTAAAGTATTGTTCATTTATATCGTTATAATAACTATAACAGATTGTTAAGATATAGTTTAGCTATCATATAAATACAATTATTATATTTATATGATAACTATAATTAACAGATAACCAGTAGATAGCATTAAAATAATCAGATAATAGTTATAAAGGCAGCTGCAGATTTTTAGTTAAAACAGTTGTTTAAGTACAGTCAAAGGATGGATCGTATTTGGATGCTACTACCTTTGCTGTTTTCATCATTTACGATCTGTTTATGCGCTCCTAAAGACGATAAAAATGCTGATAAAAAAGTTTTACTTATTTCTTTTGATGGATTCCGATGGGATTACTATAAGACATTTAATACACCAAACTTAGATTACTTGGCACGTACTGGCATTCATGCACCCAAGGGTGTTCAAGCTGTGTTCACTACGAAAACATTTCCAAATCACTATTCGATTGCAACTGGTAAGTTTATTGCTTTTAATAAATTAATTAATTTAATTGTATTTTATTTATTATTGTAAAAAACTTTATTTTAAATTGTTTAGGTTTATACGAAGAAAGTCATGGAATCGTGGATAATAATATGTACGATGTAGTTTTTAACGAAACTTTCAAAATGAAAAAACCGGACCCAAAATGGTGGGGAGGAGAACCAATTTGGGTCACTGCTAGAAAACAAGGTCTTAAATCTGGAGCATATTTTTGGCCAGCTTCTGATATACCTATAAAAGATACTTTTCCAAATTATTATTTTAAATATAATAATACTGTGTCTATGGAAACTAGAATTGAAACTGCGATTCATTGGTTAGCGACTGATCAGGTTAACGTGGCTCTTGTGTATTTTAACGAACCCGACAAAACTGGTCATAGAACTGGAGCTATGAGCGATGCCGTTGAAAAAATGGTGGAAACTGTTGATAAATTGGTTGGTTTTCTATTAGAAAAACTTTTGGAAACTTTTCTTCTCGATCGAGTTAATCTCATTATTATGAGTGATCACGGTATGGTCAATTTAACAGATGTAATCGTATTAGAAAAATATCTTCGTGTGCAAGAAGAAATTAAATGGCTTCCTTTGAGCGGACCAGTGTCTGGAATTTTACCACACGAAGGAAAATTAGACAGAGTTTATAATACACTGAAAAATGCTCATCCTAATATGACAGTTTATAAGAAAGAGAATATACCAGAGAGATGGCATTATAAGAATCACAGAAGAATCATGCCAATTATCGCAGTTGCGGATCAAGGTTATTTAATAGCAAAGGTATGCTCTTAACCAATTGCTTTTATTAATTCTTTTATGTTTAAAACATTTTTTTTAACTTCATAAAAAGAAACTGATGCTAAATAACGATTACAATCATCACGGTGGTAATGATGATATAGCAATGGATAATCTCTTAATTTCCTATAGATATTGCAGAAAATTTCATAGTAATTCTAATAAATTATTTAATGAACGAATATCGTAAACAATTACGTAAGAGAATACAAATATTTTCTAATAATGTTTACTTTTGTTTTTGATAAATAGGATATCTTTCCACAAAATATTTTCTTCTCGTATGCAATTGTTTATTTTCTTAATTAAAATACTGTATTTAACTTTTTAATTAAATTGTTTTTTATTGAATTCAAATATGAGATCCACCCTTTTATTTTGGGGCAATTTCGGGTCAAAGTTGACCTGTCGGCCTATGCGAAACTCAATTATTATTTTAACGTTCATTTTGAAAGGTGGACGTTACGTGGGTCCCAACAGAGAGTGGCTACTCACATAATTCAGTCGATAATCTATTTATTTTCTTAAATCAAACGGAAGATTACATCCATTTTTTTAAACGAGAGAGGGAGATAAAGAGATTACAAATACTTTCCTGTATACAATGAATAAAGTCGTATTAATTTCGGTGGTTCTTCTCGGCTGCTTCTGTGAGTGGTAACGAAATGTCGATTGATTTATGGAGTCGATGAAAGGTGGATACGGATACGGATGCGTTGTTAATTGGTCCTGCACCATTTTCTTCTCGTCCACGAAGTAATTTAATTACATTGAGTATCCATTTAGCTTCTTGTTTGGTAAATTGTACTACAATGTTATTCCAGTAATCTGTTAGTGTTGTTTTGCAAAACTTTTTTGCAAAACAAAATTTTCACATAATATACTAATAAGTTTATTGTATAAATCTGACTTTTCTTTATGATGTACAAGATTTAAATTTTCTTTAAGACGACCACCTTTTATTCCAAAGAGATTTTGGTCTATTGTAAAGGAATGGAAAAAAGCACGTTTTCAGAATAGATAAGGGTAATTGTTGATTGGTGGCTTATCTGCCTGCACTTTTGACTGTTAGTACTTACAAGATAATAGGGATTATCCAGACTGATAAGTTGAAAGTAGTAGTGTTCAGAGAGTTCCTATAATTAACTGAAGTAACTTATTATAGAAGGTTTGATCTTTTGTGGAGGTGGTCTTAAACTGTGCTGTATATTAATAAATTAAAAAGTTATTTTAATTTGTTCGAATTATATATATATATATATAAAAAAATTAAACTATGCTATTATATTATTAATTAATTTTATTATAATTTTTGTAGGAATATGGAACAGACAATGCCTTCGGTCAACACGGTTATGACAATATTCTACCTTCAATGCGCCCTATTTTCTTTGCTCGAGGTCCAGCTTTCAAAGAAAACTATCAGACAGATGTTTTCGAAACTGTTAATATTTATCCACTTATATGCCACTTATTAGGTATTAAACCGGCACCAAATAATGGAACTTTGGATTCGGTCAGACATCTTCTCAAAAATTAAAAAAAATAATAAAAAAACGTTTATTAAGCTTATAAACTTATTAAAATTTAAAATTTCCGTTTGTGAATTTTAATTTTATTCTTAAAAATAATAGTAAAATTAAATGAAATATTTAAGTTTAGTTATAAGACAAATACAAATAAACTTAAGCTTTAATTTATTCTCTTTATAAATCTTTAATGTCTTAGAACACAAAATCAGACAGTGGAGCTCTTACTGACTAAATATATGAATATGTTATGTGTTTTTTTAGATTTTGTAAAGTAAAATATGTGTAATAATGAGCAGAACGAGAGAATAGTTTTGAGAAGAGTGATTAGTATTAAATGATATCAATGCTGCGCTGATAAATGCAAAGCCTACAGCCACGAAATTATAAGCTCCTGGTTCCATCCTTTAAAGATATCATCCAAAAACTATTCTTACTTCAAATAAGGAACCTGATAGGGCCCCAACTACTAGCAACCCTAGTATAATTAACAGATTGCTAGAGTTGGTAGCATATATGGGTGTTTTAAGCATTTTTTTTAACGTTTTTGTCAGTAATTTGCGGGTTTTAAACTGCTTTAGACAGAACTTTAGAAGCATGTCATCACATTTATGTTTTCGTGTAAAGCCGAAACAGAAAACCCTATGAAGTTTCGTAGTCATAAAACTACAGGCAAGTTATTTTTACCTAGTTATGTATAATTTGAAAATTAAAAAACAGCTGCCATTGTTCTTTTTATTGTCTGAAAATTAGTTTTATTATTACAAACTATTACTTTAATTGCGGCAGTTGTTATATATTCTGCCATTCGCATTCGTATAATTTAAAATGACTTTTAGTAACAAATAACTGTTCGTATTCTATAAATTTATAATAATAATAATATAATAAAGAAGTTTTAAAGGGGAAAGACTTATTTTCATATTAAATTTGTATAAATGAAATTACCATACAAAGTTCTAGTTTATAACGTCACTTTACTTAAAAACAAAATGTTTTTGAGTTAATATATTGTTAAAGGCCTTATTTTATTTATTTATTTGTTTACTTTAATGCAAATTATTATTATTCAATGCAATATATATTTTTAAATAAAAATATGCATGTAGTAGTTTTAGATTTTGTCATAGGATATTTTTCTACAAAGGGGTGCGAACCCTCGAGCAACATAATGGCGAACGAGGTCCAATAAAAGAGTATGTTGCACACTGTCTGGTGAAACCGAAAACACACACGCATATACACATTAGTGATGTGCCGGATATCCGTATCCGTATCCGCGGATATCCGAGGGAAAAAAAAGATCCATATCCGTATCCGTTACTTTTTAGTGGATCTTTAACGGATCTTTTATCTTAATGAATTTCATTACTTATATGAAATTTTAAAGATAGGTAGCAATAGCACATGCGTCATTTACTATCGTAAAATATTTCAATATTACACTACTAAACTTTTTGTCGACATTGTTTTTATTTTAATTTAACTCAACACTCTCCAAAAACACAAACGTAATCTACGCTATCTCGTGTCACACTAGCCACAAACCAGTGTTTCCCAACGTGGGACCCACCCCCCACAGGGGGCAATTGGATTGCTAAGGAGGGAAATTCGAAAATGGACTTGTCCAGAGTTTAAGTTAACCGTATAGCCGCTGTGACATAAGAATTTTAGAAAGTCTTAGGTGGGGCATAGCACAAAAAGGTTGGGAAACACTGCACTAAACTATTGTGGCGGTACGCTATATTTTTGTAAATATAGACGGCGAGTCGGATGGTAACACTATTCCGTGCTCATTTCAATCGGTCCGAATCGTAGGTGGACGAAAGTATGAAATAAAATGGTTCAAATTCTTACAAGACATTATTATTATTATTTATTGTGAAATTTTGCCGCCCCCTACGCTACGCTACTGACTGGGAGTCGTATTTTCAATGACCGGATAGTTCAGAAATAAGTTCAGAAAAAAGATCCTGTTTTAAGGTCGTATTGACGACTGTGGAAGGAAAAATCCTAATTATTGAAAAAAAGAACTGGCCAGTTATAGGAGAAGGACGTGTGTTATCCCACCTAACAGTACACACAAAGAAACAAGCCGAAAAAAGGGACAAAACCCCAGATATCCTTATTTCTATCTTATCTACCATTTTTTCTGTCTTCTTAATTCTATCCCTTTTTTCTGTTATTAGTGTTAAAGGTTAGTGTTTAAGGTTCCGGGTTATATTGTCGCGACCGGGATATGTATTGTACACGTGCTTTGGATACAGCGAACTATTATTATCGCTGTAATTTCGCATGCTACTGTTTGTACTGTGAAGTTGGAATCCCTCGAAATAGAATCTGTATAAAGACGCGAAATAGCTTAATTGGAAAATTATATCAACTTTTGTTACTTTATCCTGTCTGTCTTTGTGGTGAATTCTAATTTAGCACACTTTCACACTATAAACAAAAACACGCGCAAAACAAGTCAAAACACGTCGCGTTATTAACGCAAAGCGTCAACTATCGGTCCAAGGACACAAGCACCGGCGCCGACTGGTACGAAAGTTGAAATCCGTATCCGTATCCGCGGATCTAGACTCTAATGATCCGTATCCGTATCCGCGGATATACATTTTTAACGATCCGGCACATCACTAATACACATCCACCGAATTTTTCCTTTCTTGGATTTAGGAGGTAGAGATTTACGAAACACACAAAGGGTCAAATTTGACAAGATTTCAATACTTTGCCGTATATGGACCTATCCACAAGTTTCCAGAACGTGTTTTTGAATTCTGCCGGGTACAATTGCATATGTGAATGACGTCGTGGAACCTTAAAAGAGATGTAGAGTATGTTAATAAGAGCAAAAACATCAAAGGAATCATATCTCTAAATGTGACCCTTCGCGAGATATAGCACCCCGAAATCAGCGCACGCGACAATGCCGGCTTCGAGTAACCCACTTGATTGTTCGTGGAGTACTTGATGTTATAAATTAATAGTTTTAGGAAGATGTGGGGGCTCCCTCCCATCTGGGAGCTGAGGTGCGAGTGACAGCTAGCACTGAAGCTCACGAATACTTGTGGAGTTTGGCTCAAGGCTAGTGATAGCGGAGCATGGAGAATAGGCTGTAACGGTACACAGGATAAGCTATTTTCGATTAGTAGAAGTTAATATCACCTACTTTACCCCTTCAAAAATAATTATAAAGGTCAAGACAATTATAATTAAACATTTCTTGGTAATCACAGGCTTTACTTTTAATAACATATTCCAAAGGTGATCATATCCATATTTAGAATAATTAAAATTAATTATACATTTATACTTTTTTAGAGTAAAAATATATATATATTTTTAAAATAAGTATAAATAACGAGAACAGATTTGAGTATTTTATTTCAAATTTTTGTTATTCATAGTTTATATACAGTTCATCTTTATAAAATAAATTGTTATACAGGGGAAGTTTGCCAGTACCGGACACCTAAGGTTTTTTCGAATTTGGTAAAAAAAAAAGTGTTAAGCGGATCGTAAAAGTAATACTGTCACGTTATAATTAGACATATATTTTAATAGTAGTAAACTAAACTAAAATACAAAAATGCTATGAAATTCATCACAAGAAACGTTTTCCGGTATCTGATATATATTAGAAGTTAAATGAGTGCTAAATATTGGAATAAATATTAGAAATGTAAATGAAAAATTCTTAAAACGGCATTAAATGTTTTTAAATCAATAGATTTTATCATTATTTTCATTTCACCAAAACGAAAACACGATAAGATAAGAAAAAACACTAAGTTCCTTAGAAACGGAAAATCTACAAGCACAAATTTCATATGTAAAAGTCTACATTTACTTGACTTCTATATTATTTAATATAAGCCTAAAATTTGGCTCTTGAATAAAATTTACTAAACCTTTTTTGTTTTTTCAGAGTAAAAAAATTCGAACTTCAATTCTATAAAGGAATTGAGATTAGAATCTCTGCTTGTTTCATTTAAAATTTGGGGAGATTTGTTCAAATACTTTCTGGAAATCACTTCAAAATTGACATCATGGACTAGAAAGGAAAAACAAAAGTGACTGATGAAGATTTGTATTAATAAAATGTATTTTTGTCCTTGTCTGATACTGGAAAACTAACATGCTATGATATACATTATATCCTCACTCAGTAATAACACAGTAACCGAAAAAAAAAAAAACAGTACAAACTTTAAATACTTCACAGATGCAACAAGAAATGCATCATATACAAATATCTTTTCCCAGATTGTACTGACTACAAATCGGAACTTAGCTTGCAAGCCTTACTTGAACAATCGTGGAGATAACCGGTAAATATCTGGCAATAAAAAGACACGGATAATTTTATCCGGTGCTGAACAAATTTCCCTTACGACTTACAAATTATAATGAAGAAGAAACGTTGAATGGATAACTTTATAACGTTTTAAGCTTCAAACAGTTCTTAGCATATGGCTGACTTCAGTTAGAGAACCGTTGTTAGGTGCTGGATTTATTCCAAGTAAATAGCAGATCAATGGATAAATATTTGTTATATCGAAACTTCTTGTTTTGTAATTCTCTTTAAAATCTGGCCCTCGAGCGAAGAATATGGGTCGCATAGAAGTTAAATTGTTGTCATAACCATGTTGACCCAAAGTACTGTTTTGTCTATATTTCTGTAATTAGAGTTTAAATCTTATTTAAATTAAAAATTTTATAAAACATAAAAATGATTAATATTAAATTAGCAATAAATTATTATAAAAATAACCTTACCCTAGCAATTAAATACCCTTCATCTGCAACTGCAAGGATTGGCATTATTCTCCTATGATTTTTATAATGCCACCTTTCTGGAATCTCTTCTTTCTTGTATACACTCATATTAGGATGAGCGTGTTTTAATTTATTATATACTATATCTAATTTACCTTCCTGAGGTAAAATTCCAACTACAGGTCCACCCGCAGGAATCCATTTTACTTCTTTTTTTAAATGAACATATTTCTCCAAAACAATTAAATGTTCTTTCTTTGTAATATTTGCCATTCCATGGTCACTAGTAATAATTAAATTAACTCGATCTAAAAGAAACTTTTCTAAAAGTTTTTCTAATAAAAATCCTACGAGTTTATCTAAAGATTCTACTGTTTTTCTAACTCCTTCGCTCATGGCACCCGTTTTATGACCAATATTGTCTGGTTGATTAAAATACACTAGAGCAATTTCAACTTGATCATTTGCCAACCAATTTACTGCCGTATTTATACGTTTTTCGAAAGGGGTTTTAATATTATACTTAAAAAAGTAATTCGGACGAATATTTTGAATTTCAATATCCGAAGAGGGCCAAAAATATACTCCTATTCTAATACCCTGTTTATGTGCTGTCACCCAAATTGGTTCTCCTCCCCACCATGCCGAATCCTTAGTATTATGCATTCTAAAACTTTTGTTGAAAACAGGATCATACATGGTGTTGTCTACAATTCCGTGACTTTCTTGATGCAAACCTACAGTACGGTAGTAAGATTACTTCATGTTAAATCCAGAAGTATATTATAGAAAATGTATAAGTCTTACCTGTAATTATAGAATAATGATTAGGGAATGTTTTAGTAGCAAAAGATGCCAAGATACCATTAGGAGCATGAACTCCTGTTTTAGCCAAATAATCCAAATTAGGAGTATTGTAATTTTTATAATAATCCCATCGAAATCCATCAAAGGATATTAAAAGAACTTTTCTACCCACTGGTCTTGAAATCGTTCTTGAAATTGAAGTTCCAATAATAGAAATTAAAACAAAAAATAAAAGTAACATAGAAATTTTAGTCATGATTGCAACATTAAACAGTAAAAATCCAATTCAGAAAGAACAGATGACTTAATCTCCACTATAAACTTTTACTGATAATATTTTAGAATACAAAGGCTGACGTTTATATATTCAAATTCCATATCAACTGTTACGTCATGTTTTATATAGATTAACTATTGCAAATTTGATTATAAAAAAAATTACGCAAAATTTATATTTTATCTATATGATTTATGGCNCTTTTGACTGTTAGTACTTACAAGATAATAGGGATTATCCAGACTGATAAGTTGAAAGTAGTAGTGTTCAGAGAGTTCCTATAATTAACTGAAGTAACTTATTATAGAAGGTTTGATCTTTTGTGGAGGTGGTCTTAAACTGTGCTGTATATTAATAAATTAAAAAGTTATTTTAATTTGTTCGAATTATATATATATATATATAAGCATAAATTCGTCATATAAAAATTGATATGCAGAAGCAATGGAGTTGCGAGTAAGTCGTTTCTTGGATCTCAATGGTTTTGTTTTTTTGTATGTCGAATGAACGTATGAATTACACGAAGTATCAATTTACATGAGTTATAAAAGATGACAGACAGAGAAAAGAAAAAAAGGGAAATAATAATAATGCAAAAATACAGTAAACATATTTAAAATAAATGGCATTACGGTTGAGTTATTTTGTTGAAATCAACCTTATTTTATTCTCGAAGAGTTATCGATCAAAGAGACGAAAATATTATCAAGATAAATGAAAATGCCAAAATAATTTTGGTATAAATTTGTTTCCATTGTAAAAGATAGTTATCACATTTGAATTTTTATTCACTCTTGTATACTTCACCTTTTTTTCACGTTTTTCTACATTCGTAACTCCTGAATTTTTGTTGGTAAATGTATACATTTTTACAGATGTAAATCTATAAATTCTTACTTTTACAATAGAAACATCTGATTATACTTGACAGAATCACTTCTGAAAAATATTATATCCATGTTTTTCTATATTGAATATTCACTTTCCGTATAGATCTCTTCTTCCTTTTGTTTTACATAAGCTTTCTTGTTTTCATACCTGCTCCTTATCAACTCTTTCCATACTCCAATGACCTTATTATATTAAATTTTCTGTAAAAATTCTTACACGTTTCGCTTTTATAGTTGATTTTTTAGAATTTTATCACTTAAAGGTCTTACCACGAGGGATCAGAAGGACCATTTAGTTCGAACGTCACACTATGTCTTCAAAAACTCTTCTTGCAAATTATTCATGCCGTTTCATTGTTGTATATTAAGTAAACAATCCTTTTATTATTTCAAATTTTAATATTATAATTTTCAGTGTGGGTGATTATCATTAATTTATTTGTTAAACATACGAGTCTACAATTATCTGATAACGCAAAATTGGACGTAAATAACAGAGATTGTGACGAATGACTGATATTCTTCTTTTCTTTACTGGAAAAGTAATATCGTCTACATGTAAAAAAATATAACAGTATACAGGATAAAAGAGAAAGTACTGTATATACAATTTATATATTGTATATACTGCATATGGGCACTGTTGCATAAAGTTGTGGGCTATTATATTTTATAAGGGGCTTAGCCTTGTCATATTCCCGAACTACAATACTATAGATACGTATAAATAGTAGTGTAATGTAACGTCGAGGCTTGTCTAAATCAAATATGTTCGAATAGAATTCATGAAAGTGCAAAGTGTATCATTACTCATCTTAAAATCCCTCGATGCTATCGCGTTAATCAAATTGTGTATTAGGAAGATTGATGCTATTCAATTTTGGTGTTTAAAGGCGAGTGAGTAAAGAGATAGAAGAGAGTTATGTATCATATCTCGAGTAGATAAAGATTTTACTCTTTATTCGCATTTAAAATTTTGTTATGAAACTCATCTGATTGATTTTTCATAGTTTCTCTCATAGTGGAAAATATAGGCAACCATGAAACCTGAACACTCCTCCATGATTTTATCACCTTGACATTTTGTGACAATTTAACTTTAATGCATTATATAGGTTATAAGTAAGCATTGCACAGTAATTAATGAAGCTGTCACACTCTACTTTAATTACATTTTTAATGACGATTTCAAAGAGTATAGGTCTTTTAAACTTTGAAACTGTGTCGAAATAACGCTGTTCACTTGAGCTGGTCTAAAATATACAAGTCTTTAACATGCTTTTTTAATTTTAATTTAATATTATAAATTTTCATAAAACAATTACCAATAGTAATTAAATCTTTTATAATTATCTTTATATATTAAAAAAAACATATTTTTTTCTACACTGTATATTATCATATGACATAAAATACTGCATATCAGTTTATAGACATCTTATCAATTATTTTTTTTGATAAAATAATAATTTATCATTTATAAAGTGTGTTTAAATCTATAGAAACAATAAAAATTATATATTTTTACATCTTAAAAACATAAAATGTAAAAAGACTAATTTTAATCATGATCATATAAGATTATTTATGAAATAAATTCTATTTCTTGATTATTTTAGATTAGTATTTATTCAATTATAATTTAATCTAGTATTATCTAAATTATAAATGTTATATAATCGATATTTTTATATAATTTTATAGCAATCTTCATTGTTTTCATGATATGTTGCCTATTCTTATCAGTTTTTCTATTGTTTTTTTTAAAATTAGTTTTAGACAGAACTTCACTTTCGCCGAATGTATCCCAATAACGAGAATCCCCACAGCCAATTCGGTGTGCAGTCCTGAAGAAAGAAGTCCTGAAAAAATTTCTATACTATAGGAACTGCAATAACACACTGTGATAAGCCTTTAAATTTAAAAGTCTGGTGACTTAAAGCCGTGCAAACGGAAACAAAATTAAAGTAACTTTGAACATCAACGATAGCTTAAACCAATTGCCTATTCTAGTTATCAAAGTCAGAGGAGATGAATAATGGGACTGTTTCGTTTAAAACTGCTTTGGAGCATTAACAGAATGGAGATCCACCAGTGGCCGAGCGGATACAACTCCTCCTGAACACTGGTAAATTAGTTATTTAATTGATGTATAAACACTATAAGTAAACTTCAAGTAAACAATAGTTTCAATGAACTTATGTAGATGGACAAACTGTAGATGATTATAAACAATAAACACACGACAAAAGCCAAAGCTACACGTCATCCGTAAGATACAAAAGAGCGAAGCTAGCTGCTAATGAGTATCAGAATCGAAAAATGATGCTGAAAATGTGATATCGTAAGTATAAAATCAATATAACCGATATAAATGGTCATTAACCAATTTCTGAATTCTAAATTTAACATTATGTGTTACCAATAGAGGATATCTCCCATTTTTACATAGGGTACCGCTGGAATGAAAAAAGACCAATTACTGGAAATGCAGATAACATAGGGAATTCACAAAAGGACCTTTTGGCGGAGTGGTTAAGGTGTCAGATTACCGTTCTGGTAATCCGAGAACGAATCTGGACTGGTCGATAAGTCCCAGGTGTTTTTCGGAGGTGATCCGTTTCGGAAATGCTGGGACCACACCTTCCGACTGGCTCATTGTGGGCCAGACCGAACATACGATAAACTTGATAAAAAAAAAAGGGGTGGTCTCTCTTAGGACCCACAAGGTGGAAAGGGTCAGAAATAAAAAAATAATTTTTACCCCCAAAATAAAGAACGTATAATAACGCTAATTCCACATAAATAAATAGGCTTTTCTGCAAAAACAGCACATGTCAAATTCATATTGTTGAGAAAATTGAAAAAACTATTTCTATTAAATTGCTTTGTACATGGACGTCTTTTGCTCTCATTTTCCAAAACAGTGAGTTATTTTGAAAGTTTTGGTGTATTGCCAGTTAATTATCTTTGACAGGACCAAGAAAAATTAAATTTTTGGTAAATGACATATGTTGATTTTCCAAGAAACTTTATTTTCACAGTTCTTTTTGCATGAAAATGTTTGCACGTGTCAATTCTCAGTCCTCGCAGTCACTGCTGTTGTCTTCTTCTTCAATGTCCACATACCGTTTATCACTTGCAACATTTGACAGACTTTCGTAGAACTTTTTATTTTCCTTTCTTTATGAAAGCCTTCAGCTTCGGGCAGTTCGCAAGTTTCTTTCTTGTCCGGTATAGGTATTGGATCTTTGTAGGCTTGTGGCAATGTCTGCTCATTGATCCACTTCCTAGAGCTTCTAATCAAAATATTTTTGCATGGCTCTGAATGTGTGACAAATTTAAACAGTTTCTTCATTCTCAGTAACTTTTATAAACCTTGCTGATTTGAGATTCAACTTTTACTAAAAAAAATCGGTGATAGAGCCACAACACACTTTTCTATCTTCTCCCTTTTGTGACTAATTCCAGGAACTTGGCCAGTCAAGTAATGTCTTCTTTTTTCCTATTCTTTCTTGACCACAAATACCCATCAATATTAGACATCTTCAAATGATGTTGAGGTTATTGCGATCCAAAACTACCTTTCAATGTATTTGGTCATCTGTAAGTCAACATTTCTCACAAAAACAGTAATTGTCAAAGACTTTTGCTGTTTTTTGTGACATTACCCGTTGACACGCGCTGTTTTCGTAAAAACCTTAAAATCTTTATATAGAATATCGCTGTTGGCATTTGTTGTTGTAGCATAATATTTCATGAGCAATTCGCCCATCATTAGGGCTGTCAGATGAAATAAAAGCTCATTTTTGTCCAATTTTGAGATGTTATTTTTGCAAAAAAAAGGCCTCATATGTTATAATATTCGTATTTTCAATAAAACTTTCGAAACTTGCGACAATTGTGTTTTTCTTTGAACATGATTCGTATTGTCCGTTACAGTGAAGACACCGTCTAGTCCAAGGATGGAGATCTTTTTTTAATGGCTTGTAACGTATAGTAAACATAAATTATCTTTAAAATAAAACTAAAATTAAGGTAATTTGTTATTTATATAATAAAAAATAAGAAAAAACGTATAATATGTTGCATGCCAGACATTTCTTTCGTCGTGCCACTTTGGGTACACGTATCATAGGTTTGCCACGCCTGTTCTGTCTATTCGTACC